CTCTCTCTCTCTCTCCAAAAAGCTACAATGAGTTTTTGATGTCACCATTTCCTAATGTTCAAACCAGAGGTGTTCCAAAATGTTGGTCGAATGATTAATTTTCACAGCTAAAATCCAATGTGAACTTGCCCTAAGCCAGTATGATCATGTCAGGATTCTGCAGCTGTGGCCATGTAACCATCAACCTGTGCATCTTGTTTGGCCTCTGCCCCAAACCTTGTAACAGACCCATGAACTGATTTTGATCCTACATTTTTCTTTGTTTGGGTTCTTGACCTGTGGATTGTAAAGGTCAGTCACATTTTACCCCGAGAATGCTCCCAGGAAATACTGATAGGGATAATTCCAAACTAGTCTCACTAGAGAATGTTGAATATTCCCATTAGTGCCAAAATAGCATCCTTGCATAGCAATTTCCTACAAAGTCTACAAACCTTCAAACTTTGAAAAGATATACAAGGGACTGAAGAGGTGGCCCAGTGGTTAAGAGCACTGGCTGCTCTTCCAGAGGACCTGGGCTTGATTCCCAGCACCCACATGGTGGCTGACAACCATCCTTAACCTCAGTTCCAGGAGATCTGACGTCCTCTTCTGGCCTCTGTGGGCATTGCACACATGAGTGCACTTATGTACACGTAGGCAAAACACTCATACTCATAAAATAGAAATAAATTAAATAAATAAAGATTTAAAAGGTATACAAAATCTGGAGGATTCTAATTTGTGGTGACCTACAGTATTTCAAAATTTATATGTAAAATTTATGTTAACTAGCTTTCCATCATTGTAATGAATTACCTGCAGCAACTCATTTATAAAGAGAAAAGGTTTGTTTCAGCTTATGGTCTTGGAGGTTCCAGTCTGTAGTGAGTGGCCCCATTGCTTTGGCCCTTTTGCAGGAATGTGTACTGAAACAATTTTCATCATCATTTCATCAGACAGAAAACAAAGAGAGAAAAAGATGATGAGGCTGTAATCCCACAATGTCCTTCAAGAGCATTACATGCCCCAGTAACCTAAAGACCTCATACTGGTTAGCTTTGTCAGCTTGAAACAACCTAGAATCACCTGGGAAGAGAGTCTCAATGAAGGACTATGTACATTGGGTTGGCCTGTGGGCATGTCTGTGGGGATGGTCTTAAGTGAACTGATGTGGGAAGACCCAGACTGTGGGTGGTACCACTCCATGGGCATAGGATCCTGAATGTATAAGGGTAGCAAGGTCCAGCCGAATGCAAGCAAGAAAGCAACTGAGCGAGTATATGCCTTCATTTCTGTCTTCTCTTAAGTATGAATGTGATGTGACTAGTTGTTTGAAGTTCCTGGCTTGACTTCCCCCACAATGATGGGCTGTGACCTATAACTGTGAGCTGAAATAAACCCCTTTCTCCCCTAAATTGCTTTCTGTTAGTGTATTTTATCACAGCGATAGAAATGAACTCAAATAGACCTCTACAAGGCTTCACCTCACACAGCGTCTACCACCTCCCAGTATTGCAAAATTGAAGACCAAGGTGGACTTTAGGGAGCACTACCCATGCTCCCTAACCATAATGAAGTTTGTTAATAGTTTTCTATCACACATTCACAGATTTGCATGAGCTTTTACTGGACTGTCCCCTGGCCTTGTTTCTCCCCTGCCCCACCAGCCCCTGCTCCTCCTCCCTGGACCAGCTGTCTGCTGGGCAGTGTTGAGCTTGCTCTCCATATGTCCCCAGGTGATGCTCGCTGACAGGAAGGGAACAGAAGAGCTGTATGCCATCAAGATCTTGAAGAAGGATGTGGTGATCCAGGATGATGATGTGGAGTGCACCATGGTAGAAAAGCGGGTCCTTGCTTTGCTCGACAAGCCCCCATTCCTGACGCAGCTGCACTCCTGCTTCCAGACAGTGGTAAGGACCCCGGGACTGCACCTCTTGGTGTAACCCAGGCTGCCCTCAAGGCAGAACCTGAACCAGTGTCTCAGCATCTCTTGGAAAGGCAAGACAGCGCAGCACACAGAGGAGACAAGACAGCTCTCTGCCCTAGGATGGGGTAGATTTGGGACATGCCCTCGCCAACCTCCAGTTAGAGACTTCGAATTCATTCCATTTGTAACTGCCCCCCTGTGTCCTTGGGTGCTACATTCACAGATTCCACCAATCGTGGGTCAGAAGCATTAAGAAAACCCACATCAGTGCTGAACATATGCAAAGTTTTCTGTCATTACTCCCTAAACAATACAGTACAATAGCTAGGTATGAAGCATTTAAGTTCTGCTAGGTATAAGTAATCTAGAGATGCTTTAATTATCTGTGAGCATGTGTGCATGTGTTACATACAGATGCTTCACCATTGCTACATCACTTTGTTTAAGGGGTTTGCACCTGGGAGAATTTCTGTGTCCATTAAGGCCCCAGAACCAGTCCTCACAGGTACCAAGAAATGACTATGTAAAAGGTGTTCTTCATGCCAGATGTTACACTAAGATTTGTGCAATACAGAAACAGTACCATAATTTACAGCCCTGCCCTTTTAGATCAACTGGTCCAGCTGCCAAGCATAGCACTGGATCATTAGGATGCACAGTTTGCTAAAGGACCGTGTCCCTTATGTGATAACACACAGCATGGAGGACAAACTATGGCCCATTTCATGCAGCCCATGAGTTGTGAGAAAGGTTGCAAAAAAGAAATCCAAAGGGTAATATTTCCTGATGTGTGAAAATGAAATGGAATTCAGATTTCAGCATCCACAAGTAGTTTTCCAGGGACAAAGCCACACTCATCCACTTAACTGTCACCTGCAACTGCTTTGCCACTATGAGAGGAGAGAGGTTGCAAGAGATATGCAAAGCCTAGGTTTACGGTCTGATCTTTCATGGAAAAAAGTTTGCTACCTTTTATGAGAGTAAAATTAAGAAAAGGGGGTGGAAACCCAACAACAATAGTCCAGAGCACTCAGGCGCTACCTGTAGGGCTCTCCAGTGTCCTACAGAACCTAGGTGTTTAGCTGCACCATGGTGAGACAGTGCAGGTCAGGTGTTCTGCCCCATCCCTTTTGAACACTGTGCAGACCTCACCTCTGAAGCCTATGCTATCTGTCATTGCCTCGTTTATGATTATTACTACTTCCAATTGCCCAGTGGTCAGAAATTGACTTTGTGGTTATGTCTCTCTTTTAAAAATCTTGGGAAATACCCTCCATACCTTTGGATAGTAGTCTCAAAATGCAGGAGCTACAGGCATGGTGTCAGTTGTGTGGTTGAGGCTGCAGAGCCAGCTCTGGCCACAGTGTGTCAGCCTCGCACAAGTCGCTGTCAGCTCCTTCCTGCTGTCTGCTGCTCAGGCCTCCTGGAACCCAGGAGTGCCAGAGACCTGTCCCATAACCCCGATGACACTCATTGAGCTCTGGAAAACTACAAAGCATAAACACAATGATGAAATTAAAGATCCTATCAGAAAAGCTAGAGAACAATGCTCCCAGAGCTACTTCCTGTCAGCTCCAGTTCATCATCCCTTCCTCCTAGTACAGCAGTTTAATGTTTAACAGCCTCTGTGAAATGAGGATGTTTTCTAGAAGTGAGCGGAGGTCATCTTTTGCCATGCTATGTTGCGCTGTTAGTCATTCGCCCATTGAACTCCTCCCTCTCTCCCATCTGTCCCAACACAGTGCTCTCATTAATACAGACTCATTTAGCTCTGTGATGTATGTCCTTCCCTTCGTGGGGCCAGCACTTAGGAGACCAGTGACAGAACTTTCTTTTTTTTTTTTTTTTGGAAAAAAGCAACATTTGGACACGTTTTACATGCAAAAGAACATTTGATTAAAATCCCCATTTATGGTGCCCCCTCCCCCACCCAGTAAATAGTATTAAGTATATATAATTTATGGGTCCAACCTAACCCAAGAGATGTGCTTTCAGAAGCATTCATTTAAACACAATACTGTATAAGCATGGCAGGTCTCCTGGACATTACAAGCAGCTTTTACACATCCGCACCACTGAGAAACACTAGTTAAAATGAAATGATTGGTCCATGTGGATTCTTCATTCTACTGCTAGCTTAGAAATATATTGTGTGTATAGGGAAAAAAGGAGAATATTTGAGACCATTACTATAATAAGGAGCATGCGTCCTCAGGAGGCAGGTACGTTATCAGAGAGCCATTACTGCAGAATTATGGAAGAACATTATCCTTCCCAAGGCCCCTGTGCAGTACGGTGAATTACTTATTCTTTCCCTGGGAAAACGTTGTGAAGAATTCCCAGCAGAGCAGCTCTGCCAGGGCAGAGCCCTACTCATGTGTGAACTTTGGTCTGCAGGACCGACTGTACTTTGTCATGGAATACGTCAACGGCGGGGACCTCATGTACCACATTCAACAAGTAGGAAAATTTAAGGAGCCACAAGCAGTGTGAGTATTTTTTAAGTCCAGTAATTCAGATAGCCCAGTACTCCCATCTGGGAACTTCTGCTGGATAAAATGTCCAAGGGTGGCTCTGCTCACTTGGAGCTAGACCCTGAAACTTCCTAGAGTAGCAGATGCACTGGCAGGACCCACATGTAATAGATGTTTGCTCAGGAGCAGTTGATTCTGTTGGCAGCAGATTGAAGTCAATGCTAGTGCATCCCCTCGTCACCTGCTAACACCCTTGTGGATGGAACCCTTCACTCATTCACTGAGCAGATGGTTATTCATACTCACTGTGCATCCGGTAGTAAGAGTGCAAAAAGAATGTGAGGCCCAGACCTTGGGAGTACCACACTCTAACTTGGCATTGTTGACGTCATCCAACAATCATAACACAGGTACCACCAATCCTCTGGAACTGAGGAGTGAGACAGCAGATCATTGGGAAGTGCTCAACCCAGAGGTGGGGGAAGAGCCTTCTAAGGAAAGAATGTGAAGAGCTGGGAGGCAAGTCCTGCAGTTCAGCAGATGCCAGAGGTGGTGTGAGATGGGGAGGGGCCAGGCAGATGGATGCAGAGCCTCCAGGGAGAGCAGCTCAGGAAAGGGGCAGAGGAAAAGGGCTTCAGTGGAGCCTGATCCCATTGAACTAAGTTCTCACACAGCCCACCAGCTGAGGGGAGGAGGAAAGATAGACTGGAGTGCAAGGGCTGGTTCAAGGGGACCAGCGAGAATCGCTGCTAGAAAGGAGAAATAGAACTGGAAATGAGGACGTTTTATCTTTTACAAACATTCTGGAGGAAGAAAAGCTGAAGTTGGTGACTGTGGAGTAAGACAAAGAACCCTCTTTAAGGATGTCCACTTGAGGTCTGTGTGAAGTCAGTCATCCAGGAGGAAGTGATCTCAGGGGAAGAATCAGGAGCTTAGCTTGAGCTGGGATATGCCTTGGATGCTGCCATGCAGAAGTAGAGAAACAGGCTCCAGGTGGAGATGGAGGGGACTAGGATACCTGCATGTTGCCCCATTTCTTAGGGGCCAAGAGGTCTCAGAAATGTCAACCAAAGCAAAGTGAACAGAGTGCAGTTCTGGTAAACAAGGATGAGCAATGGGCATGCACAGTCAAGCCAGCAGCTGTGAATAGGATCGTGGCCAATGTACAATCTAAAACATAAATCAGAGAGAGCTGGACCCTGTGTGGGATTATCTGGAAAGATTAGTTGAAGGCAGATAGGGTGCTATTTGGTCATAAGCTTAAAAAGTATAATGGCGGATTTTTTTCTGCTTTTATGTTTACTAAAAAGCAGAGGCTTTATTTAAAAGAAATACCTACCTTTATCCCCTCTCATACGTTACAGAGTATTAAGATGCTTGGGTTGTAAAATAAAGCTTTATATCCAGAGCTATAAAGCACAAGTAGCACAATAGCCACCTTATGTCACAGGCAGCATAAAGGGCCTTGGCCCATACCCTTTCATTCGTTTGTGTTGTTGAAAAGTTAAAAGTCATGAAAAACAATATAAAAATCATCTGTACGCCATCTCTCCTTTCCCCCATCCCATCCCAGCCTTTTCCTCCAGCCTCCAGAGGCAGCCCCATTAAAAGCTTAGTCTTCATCTTTTTTCTACTCATGTAGATATTGTGTTTATTTTAAGTCTCCTGGGTATATTTGCCCAGGCACAGGCTTGTAGGGACTCAGACTTCAAAGACTTCTACATGCTATGCAAATCTTAAGACATCATTCTACATTTAATCTGAGTTCCAGATATTAACCTATTAATGATTCTGAAGAGATGGTAATGACTGTTTTTATTATGAATAATGCAAAAGGGCAAACTCAGGCATGAGTCATGGTGTGTGTCCCATTTATTCCATCCAGCATTTCAGGGACCGAATAAACGAGCTACAACATTCATCATGTGCCACACTTTGTCTTCTTGGGAATGATTCATTTTCAAATGCCAAAATTTGCTCTGTCCATGAATAGGAGAATGGAATTTTTCCACTCTACCACTCTCCTGACATGAAATTGTCTCCCAGGTATCGCCCCCTTAAATGATTATATTAGAAGTTATTTTGTAGCGAGTAGATGATCTGCCCACTTTCCCCAAGCAAGAAAAATAAGCCTCTCTCACTGGCCTGCTTGGGTGAGTTGGAGGGTGACGTCACTCTCAGAGAACCTTAGAGTCTCTTGCTCTCATCTCTTTCTGATGCCTTAACTTGAGGTGAAGAAGTATCCAGGAAGCCCTAAAAAGCCAGACATCTGAAGCACGTTTTCTTTTGCAGATTCTATGCAGCAGAGATTTCCATTGGATTGTTCTTTCTTCATAAAAGAGGAATCATTTACAGGTGTGTCTCAGAGCTCTTCCAGCAGCAATGCAATGGAGAGGTTTTCAGGGCCACTGTGGGCATGGGAGTCTATAGTGGGGACTTCAGATGTGGAGCTCATGGCCCCTCAGGAATGCAGACCTGCTGAGACCCACCTGACTCTGCAGCCTCCAGGCAAATCAGAGCCGCCTTTTGATTTCTCGGCCTCAAAGATGTCATATCTTCTTTCTGCTTTTACATAGGAAAACATATTTTCCTCTCCGCTGACAACTCCTTCATCTTTTATTTGAACAGAGGTCAGGGAGCCCTGGAAACTCACTTGCTAGTCAAGATGTTCAGAGGGAAAAGAACATGGGGAGCCGGGGAGAGGCACGGGAGGACACCAACTTCAGTTCTTTTGGTTGCAATGAAAGTCTGGTGCCAAGAAAGAAAAATGTTTGAAGAATAATTAAGGGGACATTGGTGATGGTGCTAAGCCTGTCATTTGACATGTCTGTACCCCCTTCTATGTAGATATCACCAAGTCAAATGCCCAGACTCTCTCCAAATCTGATAAATTGAAGTCCCTGGATTTATAGCAATTGGGAATCACTAATTCACCCATGTTTCGTTCATTCAGCATTTAAATATCTACCATATCCTAGGCTCTACACTAGGCTCTGGAGATAAAAGACACAATGATTCCTTGGTCCCTGCTCTCCAGGGACTTACTGTGTGAATGCCCCTGCACTGGCAACGAGGCAAACATCCTTCTTTCCGCTTCACTAGCTCCAAGCAAACCAAGTCATGTTGCGGGAGGGCCTCTGATGCTCACCTGCTTCCTTGCAGGGATTTGAAGTTAGACAACGTCATGCTGGACTCAGAAGGACACATCAAAATCGCCGACTTTGGGATGTGCAAGGAACACATGATGGATGGAGTCACAACCAGGACATTCTGTGGGACTCCTGATTACATAGCCCCAGAGGTAGGTGTCCCCAGTTCTTGTTTTCAATCTACAAACACAAACCTTGCATAGAATATGGGGCCATGTGTGGGTCGTGACCACCGAGTAAACTAAACTTGGCAAAAGAGACTCAAATGGGGAAAATCTGGAGTTTCCATCAACATATGAGCCAGTTGCATGGTTAGCTGTGTCTCTTGCATGCCTGTAGTCAGGAGTTAAGAAGCACTGTTGAGCTGGGGGAGTTGCTTGTTGCCTGTGGACATAGTGTTTTAAGAGACACTATGGAGTTGAGGGAGACGGAAATGTGTGAGAAAGCAGTGAGCCTCATGGATTGTCAGCATCATCAGAGTGATCACGCTCTTAACTACATGGTGTTCATGATTCTAATCTAGGAAGACACAGTTGATGTAGTTAAAAGCCAAATGGTTGGTTCCATGGTTTGTATACACAGTAGGGGCCAGAGTACTCTGTTCTTGATATTATACATACTGAGGAACTCTCTTCCTGTCTCATGAAACTTTCTGCTTTCTACTGAGAGGATTATTTATACCCCTGACCCCTGGGCCATCATGTAGCCATGTTCTGTGCACTCACAGCCCCATGGATGCAGAAATCTTCATCCCAGTGCACCAGCATGGTGGAAGCAGGGGGCTTCCAGTGGGCCGTCCCCTGCTCACCACCGAACTGTTGACAGCATGTCCCACATCTGTTCAACCTATTGCCCATTTGTTCAACTCAGACACCGTAGGAATGGTAGGAAAGTTCAGAAGTCAGACACACATGAGCCTTAAGCCGGACTCTCATCTGTAGGCTTCGGGGACTGAGACAACACCGCTTTCCTAATCTCTCTGCACCCACCCCCTTTCTTCAGGCAAATTAGCGATTCTAAGAAGTGCCATGACAATGAAAGCACCCAATCCAGCACTTTGTACCTGTGGCCCCCATTACTTGCACCTACTATGGCACTCAGTATACTTATTCCACAGGGAAGCTGGGTTTCATTTGTAATAGTCCTTCAAGCCTGGAAATAGGCTTTAGTTAGAAATTCAAAATGTTACATTAATTTAGGTGTGCATGTGCACATAAATGGTTTATTACATTTATATGCACTTATGTGTATGTATGTGTCATGTCACCCTTATGAAAACCCATTAGGGGACAGCTTGAAGGAATCGGCTCTCTCCTTCCTCCATGTGGGTTCCAGGCATATAACTCTGGTCATCAGGTTTGGTAACAAGTGCCCCTACCCAATGAGTCATCTCACTGGCCCCAAATATTCAAATTTTGAATGACATGGCCCAGGTGACTTGTTATCTTGATATTTAATTTACTGAGGTTCTCCCGTCTGCCCAAAAGCTCTACTTATTACCTCCATCTGTAATGTGAACTTATATAATCACAGTTTTCGAATGTGAAGAATAAAGAGATGGTACAATAAAAGTACAACTGCAGTATGCATTCTGAAGCCTCCTACTGGCTGACAGGTGCCAGAAGCCTTCGATTATGAGCTGTGCAGGCTCCTGGTGACAGCCTACCAGATGCCATAAAGCTTGGTGACAAAGGATGGCAGCAGCATGTGTAGCGATAAAGGTGGCTTTGAATATCATCTCCATTAAGACCAGGCCCCTGCTGATCAGACTCATGGCTTCCTGCATTCAGTGACACCTCAGCTATCTGCTGTCACCCTCCTACCGAGATGAAATTTTCCATATAATTAAGTTTTGTTCATTGAGTGATTTTTCTTTTTTGCTCTTCACTGTATGAATTTCCTGTTGCTACTATAACCAATATCCACAAACTTACTAGCTTAAAATGTTAATTTAGGGGCATGGGTGGTAGGTAGGTCAGTGGTAGAAAGCCTGCCTAGCAGGCACAAGGTCCTGGATTCAGTCTGGCACCTTACATATGTGATGTAAAATTCTAAAGGTTAGAGGTTCAATATCAGTCACCCTGGTTATAAAGTCAGATTTTTGTCAAAGCAATTGTTTCCGGGTGCTTTAGGAGAAACCATTTCTCGTTTTCCAGCTTCTAGAGGCTGTCTGGGTTCATTGGCTCTTAGTACCTTCCTCTGCCTTCCAGGCAACATGGCATCTTCTAATCTCTGTGACTTTTCTAACTCATCTTTCCACAACTCCTATAATTACTTTGTCTTCTCAAATAATCTAGGATCACCTCCACATCTCTAGATACCAACTTACATCTGCAGAGTCCTTACTGTGTAAAATTATATTCACAGGCTATAGGGACTAGAACCTGGGCATCTTTGGGGGAAGGAGACATTATTTAACTGGTTATACTCATTTTGAAGGCACTCTGTGTTGGATAATATCCCCTTTTTCCTCCACCAGACACTCCAAGTGTACCTTGGGAACTTTGAGCTGCTTCATACACCAAGAATAATGTACCCTCGCTGCGAATACCCTCATTTCTGAATCCTTTATTCTTCAGTTCTCAGACTAGCAACAGTAAAGGTGGTGACCAGTGTGTGTTATCTAATAAGCACCAGGCACTGTAGAACTTTTCCTTCCTTAGTCCTCAAGGTAAACCCCATGAGCTGACAGAGGCTGTAGTAATATGGCTAAGGCCACATTGCTAAGAAATGCTAGAATTAGGCTTCGTCCCCATGCTCGGGCTGTCTCTAGTCCTCTGCACCATTCAACCCAAACCTGAGCAGCTCATGTGTGAAGGCAGCATTTTTATTTGCTTCTTTGAGACATGGTCTTGCTTTGTAGTCCAGCATGGTGGTTAGCTTTGTCAGCTTGACAACAATCTGGAATCACCTAGAAAGAGAGACTTAGTGGGGACTTGTCTAGATGAGGTTGGCCTGTGGACACATCTCTGGGGGATTGCTTGATTATGTTAATTGATGTGGGAAGGCCCAGCCCACCGTGGGTAGCACCATTCCCTGGGACCTGGACTGTGTAAGAGAACAGAAAACAAGTTGAGTACTAGGTGTGTGCAGTCATTCCTTCTCGCTATGCTCTTGACTGTGGATGTGACTAGCTATTTCAAGTTCTCCCGCCTAGGCTTCCTCTCAGTGGTTGACTGTAATCTGGAACTGTGAACTAAAATAAACCCTTTCTCTCCTAAGTTGCTTTTTGTCAGGAGAGTTTATCACAGCAATTGGACAAGAAACTAGAATACCCAGGTTGGCCTCCTTCTTTAGCCCCCAAATACCTTGCCCAGCACTGGCTGACATTACACACTCTTACTGTGCCAAGTGTGGTACTTCTAGGGCTCTTTACCCTCCAGTGCTTTCACCTTAGAAAGGAGATGTTTCTGTAGCCAAGCAGTGGTCAAAGTGGTGGCAGCTTCCAGTTTACTCTCATTGAAAACAGGCAGTGTTCGTTGCCCTGGGAAATCCAGCCATACCACCATTGGGCTGTGTTACCATCTCTCCTCCTTAGCATCTAGGAATGCAACACACTTGGCCCTGAGAATGCAGTTTAGGGAAAGACCAGATAGGTTCAAGGTTTCAAAATTTTCTCAAAGGTTAACCTAATTCTATCCTCTGTGTAAATCTTCCTGTCAGGCAAAAGCAAAATAATTATCTTAGATGGCATTTCCCTAATATGCAAAGCAAAGGCTAAAATATTTATGACTATTTGTTCAAAACCCTTGAAATTGATTCATTACTGTAGCATCTCCCTAATAGGTGAAGAGAGGCTGAGACAAAAATTTCACTCACAGATAAGACTTGGGAGTGAACACCAGTGGCCACAGAAGGAACGCTAATCAGAAAATAATTCTGGAAGCTGACATGAGAATGAATTCTCTGGGGTCCGTAAGAGTCCTTGAGAAGACCGAACAAATGCCTTACATAGAGCTAACACCCCTCTGCAGGGTCATCTCAAGAGTGGGGTCTGGTTATAAGTTACATCTCCCACTAGCCTCCAAGTAGTTAGTGTTATAAGCGTGGATCACAGTCCAGGGGCCATTTACTGAGATTTCCAAGTTCTGTGTCACAGTACAAAGATTTAGACCAGGGACACATGGATATTGATAGAAATAGCGATAATTTTTAAAGAAAGAGAATGACACCCCCGAGAATGGAAGTCATTCAGAGAGTTGGGAAAGGTCTGAAGCTCAGGGCCCTGGACCATCCTTATGAGGTCCTTTACACAGTGCCCATCCTTTCTGGAATTTGGAGATTCCTGGGCTCCTTTCTCCCACAGATGCTATTATGTTATTTGTAGCCACTTGGAGGGGTTTCCAGTCCTCTCGTGCCATTGGTTTCTTTCCTCGGTCAGTCTTGATTCCTCTGGAACCTCTCTTTATGCTCTATTTTCCTACCTCACTAGTGGCCTCTCCTGTCCCTCTTGGAAGGAAGTGGCTGGCCAGTGTCCTCTATGTACCCTTGCTGCAGGGAATGGAAGCTTGTTGGTATTGTGCTATGCAAATGTATCCCAACAGCCTTGTATCCCTTATAGCACACACAGCACCTCCTCCATGACGTGTTGACTATGCTCTGTCCCAAGTCCCTTGGACACACCTTTGTCACAGGTATGGAAATTCTGTGACTTTCCAAGATCATACCGCTGGTATTTGGATTTAGATCTGAGAGCTTTTGACCCCAGAGCCCATACATTCCTCTCAAAGTATATTGTCTCCAGAGTCATGGGAGAAAAACCAACTTAAAATGAGCATTTGGGGGCTGGGAGATGGCTCAGTGTGTAAAGTACTTGGTACATAAGCATGAGGACCTAAATTTGCATCCCCAGCACCCACATAAGAACTGGGCACAGTGGCACACATCTATAACCCCAGCAGGTTGGGGGTGGTAGAGAAGCAGAGCCAGCTAGCCAGGCAGTATAGCCAAATCAGCAAAGTAGGGGTGGAAAGTGATAGAGAAAGACACTTGGTATCAACCTATGGCCTCTTCATAGGGAACACACACACACACACACACACACACACGCACACAAATAATAAATGCATTTTTAAAATGAACAGTCAGCTATAAACCATTCTTTCTTTAACATCTCCTAGGAAAAGCTGGACCTGCATCCCTCTGACTTGGA